CCGTTCGGAGAGTGGCGAGCGCTGGTTTTCCAACGCCCGGCGAACATTTCGCGGCAGCGCGCTGCCGCGACAGGCTCGAAGGTTGCAGGTTCCGACGACGTCGCTGGCGGGGCGGCGCCCAGCCCCCGTCCTTCTCGGAACACTGCTGGTCGGGGGCATCGGGGGCGCCCGCGCTGGCATACAGTCGGGGCCCTGAAGAAGGAACCCTTTTCGTTGGGGAGGGGCTCGGTGTTCCTTGATTGTTTAACAGTGTGCCCCAGGGTTTCCTTATGTTTTCGATGGGGAACCGAAGGTTAACTTATGGAAAAAAGGGGCCTCGTTCCTTATTTAGGGTTCCTTAGGTCAACGCCCCGACGGTACAGGGGAGGCCCATGCGAAGAAGCACCCGGCTTGCGTCCAGGGTGCCCTGGGTGTCTTGGGTTTCGATGGTTTTGCCATGGGAAGCGCGACGTGCCCACACACACCAAACATCGATGGACGTCCTGGGGTCTCAGGGTTGGGTTTTTTGTGGAAGGCTTCTTGTGGTCGGGCCTCCAATGTACCTCTTCCTAAATCGATTCGGATGGGTGCCCGTTTCCGACCCTGGGCCCCGGGGCCGTCGGTCATGGATCCGGGGCGAAAGAATTGGCAGGCGCCGCGGGCCAGCCTTGATCAGAGTTCGGGGTCGGGATCGTCGTCGTTCGCCGTCGTCGCCGTCCACTTCCAGGTGGACGGAGGAGGAGGAGGAAGAAGAGGAGGATATTGGAGGACGAGGAAGCGCATCCATCTTTGAGCTGCTGCTGCTTCAGAGCATAGTATGCTGGCCTTTGGCCTCTCGCTACCACCCCTGTCGTGTAGGTCAGAGGCGTGTGCTACATCTTTGTGGATCTCCTGGGCAGCTGCTCGGAAGCCTGTCGGACTTGGTTCTGGCGTGTCACAGAGGCCTCTCGGGTCTCGTGGGGAAAAAGCACACAGCGTGTGTTTTTGTGTGTTTGTTTCCCCACAGTGTGTGTTTTTGTGTGTTGTTTCCCCACTGTGTGTTTTTTTTTTGTGTGTGTGTGTGTGTGTGTGTGTGTGTCTGTGTGTGTGTCTGTGTGTGTGTGTGTCTGTGTGTCTGTGTGTCTGTGTGTGTGTGTGTCTGTGTCTGTGTCTGTGTCTGTGTGTGTGTGTGTTTGTGTGTGTGTGTTTTAGGGTCCCCTAGGGGCCTGCTTTGGACCTCTTTGGGGGCCGGCCTCCTGGAGCTCGTGGGCGGCCTCGTGGGGGCTTGCTGGCAGTCTCGAAGACCAAGTTGGTCTCGAAGGGCTCGAAGTGTCGGTTCGTGTCCCCCCTTATGCTTGGCATCGCTCGAACGTGTGCATTTTTTCCTTCGGCGAGGACCTTCGAGGAGCATCCTTGATCATTTCGCGAAGCAAACACGCACGAAACCGACAAAAATCACAGGGAATGGACGTCCGAGCGATGCCCAGTTATGTGGCTGGCCTCTCTTGGGCCCCTCTTGGAACTCTATTGGGCCGTACTGGGGGCTTCTTGGACCGTCTGGGGGCACTCTGGAAGGCTTTTTCGGCCGCCTTGAGGCGATCGTCGGGGCCTGCGGGCAGTCTTCAGGCGTCGAGAGCCAGAAAGGAGAACACTCAAATCTCTTAAACGGAAGATCCATGATTTGGGCACCTCGGGGCGCGTTTGGGGGGGGCCTCTTAGAGTCCTCTTGGGGCGTCCTGTTGTGCTGTCGGGCAGTCTTCGAGGCCTCTTGCGCCCTCGTGGGCGCTTCTTGGGGCCCTCTTGGCCCGTACTGGGGCCCTCGTAGCCTCTGGAAAGGTAATGCGCCCAAGCCCGAAACAGCGCGAGATCGCCCAGAAGATTTGAGATCCTGGGCCCCCTGCCCCCAATTAATCTTTCACGATAAACTTGAGAGGCCTGGCGGACACTCCACTTCGTGCCTCGAGGCACGGTGGCGGTTTCGCGCGTGGGTCTGTACACGTGAGGCTCGAGTGGCTCAGGCGCCTTTTGGGCGTTCCCCCCCACTGTCCGCACATGTTAAGTCGGGCATGTCCCTCTACAGAGGGGATATTCAAAAATGATAAAGAATAGTCTGGGGACGATTTCTCTGGTATGTTTTGATCATTGATGAGCATGTTTGGACTATTTTTCATTTTCCGTCCAAGGTCCGCTTGTAGGGGGACATGCCCGACCTAACGCAAATGCACTTCTGCTGAGACCCATTCGCTCCCAGAGTCCAGCTGGCAGGATGCTGGGCTCGGGCTCGGCGTCTGTCAGCTGGAACGTGTTCCGGCTCGCGGGCGATGCCCTCCACCTCGGGGGCATGGTGCTCGGCCTGTCCGCGGTGTGGGGCACGGGCTCTGTCGAGTGTTTCTCCCGTAAGACTCAGGTGCTTTACCAGCTCGTGTATGTCACCCGCTACATGGACGTTTTCACAGATCATCAGGGTGCTTACTTACTGTTTTTCAAGGCGACCTTCAACGTGATAACGGTAGCGATGTTGGTGGCCTTCGCGGTATTACATCGCACCTACGATGTTTCGGCAGATTCGTGCAATCTTCTAGCGATTACGATACCCACTGCAGTGGTCGCTCACATGGCTTCTCATGGACTCGGCTTTCGTGAGGAGATGTGGACATTCTCCGAATTCCTCGAACCCTTTGCCCTAGTGCCGCAGTATATCCTCTGCTACCGGGCATCCAGAGTGCGACCAGTGGCGGTGCTGTACGTGTTAGCAGTCGGTGGCTACAGGGTGCTGTACGTGTGCAACTGGATCTACAAGCGCATGAACTGGCATACGGCCTACCACGACTACACTTCCTGGCTGGGGGGCGCCATAGAGTGCGTGCTCTTCTTCGACTTCGTCTGGCGCATCAGCCAGCGGAGAGAGGTCATCGGCGAGATGGGCGCCTCGGCCCTGGGCCGCATACAGAACGACAAAACACGCCATGAGCACACGGCAGGCTCGCGTCGTGTCGACCGGCGGCGACCCCGCTGCTCTCAATGCTGACTGCCGCCGGCGACCCAGAGTCGGTCGATGCTCGGGCTGGACGACAGGGGGGGATTGGGAAAGGGGGGGTTACGAAATCTGCTGCATGCGGCTGGCTTCGGCCCCACCGAGGGGCCCATTCCTCGACACACAGCCGCCTCCGGCGCCGGGAGGCGCCAGGACAATCAGCTGCGTGAGAGCTGATTCTCAAAGCCCCCCTCTTGTTTCAGGAGAGGAAAAAACACACAGACACAATTACGTAATCCTCGATTCCTCAGAAAATATAGGAAAATATTGGCAGTGGGGGGGGAAGACAGAAACCCAGAAAACGTGGGAAAATATGGGGGGAATATGTTTATTTGTGTGTATTTATCTGTGTGTCCTGGGGCCCCTTTGTTGCTATCCCCCCCCTTTCGCCCGGCCCGAGACGCTGAGCGGCCTGGCGTCTCGGACACGGACGGCCTTGTCGTGCGAGGTCGAGCGGTCCCCGCAGCGGCGGGAGGCCGCGCCGAGGTCGGCACGGCACGGGCCTGCCGTGTAGGCCGTCGGAGGCCCGTGCGGAGCTCTCCTGCGCGAGAGATCGGGCGTGTCCCTCTGCTCTGGAGGGGAAAAAACACACACAGACACAAGTAATCGTCGACCCCCAGGAAAATATGGGAAAATATGGGAAGTGGGGGGGAAGGCAGACACCCAGAAAATATTGGAAAATACGGGGAATCCTGTTATTTGTCCGCATTTATGTGTGTGTGTGTGTTGTGGGCCCCTTCATCTACTGCCAGCCTGGAACATATCCCTATCCCCTATGCTGGGCACCTCCTCATCACGACGCCAATCTCAGGGATCCCCTTATTTTTTGGGGGCGAATCCCTAAGACTGTCATCGCCTTTTTTTGGCGTGTCAATCTTGGGGATAGGGATACGTTCGAGGCTGGTAACTCTACGGGAGGACTGTTCAAAGACAGTCCAAGCAGTGGTCTGGAGACGATTTGTTCTGTTGTTTAAACTAGTTTCTCGGTTCGTGAGCATGTCTGGACAATGTTTTAAAGATTTTCCTACCATATCCGCTCGTGGGAGGACATATGCCTCAGGAGGGCAAGAAACACACAGACACACTTGACCGTCGACGCCCAGGAACAGATGGGGAGATATGGACAGTGGGGGGCAAGACGAGAGCCCAGAACATGCAGGAAAACATTGGGGATCCTGGGAGTTGTGTGTATGTCTTTGGGTGTGTCCCTGGGCCCCTTCAATGCCCCACCTACAGTGAGCGGCTTGAATAAGGAGCACTTACTTCTCAAAAGGGGGTCGGTCGTTCCTTAGGCTTGCATGCGTTATGTACAGTTCCTTGTGCGTCATTTGTTACCTATCGTCCCTTATGCGTTATCCCTTGGGATAAAAAAAGGGGCCTCGTTCCTTATGTATCGTTCCTTAGGTCAGGCCGATGGCTGTACACCTTAGGCGATGCTTAAGAAAACTTAAGTTTTCGGCCAGAGTCTCGATGATTCTTAATGTTTCAATGTAAATCCTAAGGTTTTTATTCAAGTTCTGAGACTATGAATTTCTTAACCCATGATTTCTTAAGCATTTCGCAGGGTGTATTTGCGTGTCCCTGGGCCCCTTCAATGCCCCGCCTGGTGCCTGCGTCGGCTCGGGGGCCCCCCCCGCCGGAGAGGCGCCGCGGGGGGGAGGGGGGGCCCGGCCTCGACCCGGGAGGCCCCTCGCGTCGCGGGCTCCCGAGAGCTGCCCGTCGGTCGCTGAAGCTAGGTTTAGGTCGGGCGTGTCCCCCTGCAGAAGGAGTATTCAACATTAGCCCTAAAAAATAGTATGGGGACGATGTTCTGATTATTGTTTGACCATTTGGGCCTATTCTTCTGGTATTGCAACCATTTGTCCTTCACAAAATCCGCCTGCAGGGGGACACGCCCGACCCAAATCTACCGTCGGCGCCTTCCGTCAGGCGATCGCAAACATGGATAAAGGGGGCATGGATTAGCGACGGGTCTCGTTTCCAGGGGACATCGCGGTTTCCCGCCGCCGGAGGAGGCGGCACCGGCCGCGGTTTGGGGAGGGCACCTCCCCCGATCCATGGATTTGGCGACCGCGCGCCTAACCCATGGATCGCTAGTCCATGTTTGCGCGCCCCCGATGCCTACTTCAAGCATCGAGTGGCTCTCCTCTTGCTCCCTCCTCGTACCGGGGCGGGCGGGGAAGCTCGAGCTATCCCCAGCGGCTTCCTGCTCCATGCTTCCGCCCACCTCTTCCTCCTCCCCCTCCTCCTCCTCTTCCTCCTCCTCCTCCTCAGTCTCTTGGCCGGTTTTTTGTTGTTCTGGCATGGTTCTCCGCCTGGACGACAAGGCGGGGAGGCTCTCCGAGAAGATCGAGCTGGGGGTGGTAGGCCGGCGTGTCCCCTTCGGGCTCTCGGGGCCGGGCTCGCAGGAGGACGAGCGGAAGCGGAAGGAGTGGGATGTCTCGGACAAGCTGGTGGACGAGGAGAGCTGCAGGCTGCTCGCCCTCAACGGCGACGCCGACCTCTGAGCGTGCGAGATCAGGGGCCACGTGGGGTGGGGGTACTTCAGTAGCAAGTCATGGGCCACCACCCACCAAACCGCCCCAAGCCAACCCGAAGCCCTCAATCTGCCCTCCATTTCCAGTGGGGGGGGGTCGGGGAACATTGAAAAAACACATGGAACCCGTACCCCCCCCAACCCAAAATTCGGGTCAAATTCGAGTCTTCGGGTTGGGTTGGGGTGGCCTGGTAGGCAGTCAATGGGAGCCCGATACACCCTCTCAACTTCGTCTTCAACGTCGATTGGCATCTGGCAGTGGATGAGATAGCGCCGACTTGGCGCCGGTCAGCGTAGACGAGCGTCGATTTGGCGCCGAGTCGCAGGAGCCGACAAGATGGTATGGGAGGCTCCCATGAGTTCCACCCGAAACGTTAATCGGGCCGGGCGAAAGGGGGGATTGGGAAAGGGGGGGTTACGAAATCTGAGTTTCGGCCCCACCGAGGGGCCCATTCCTCGATACATGGCAGCCTCCCGGCGCCGGGAGGCGCCAGGAAGATCAGCTATTCGCGAGAGCTGATTCTCAAACCCCCCCGTTGGCTATCCCCCCCTTCCGCCCGGCCCGAGCTGAGAGGGGGGCGCATCAGGCTCGAGGTCGGGCGCCACGTCCGGTCCGAGGCCCTCGGGCGTTACGCGTCCTCAGGCCTCGGCGGCCTTCGGGCCGCAGGTCGTTTGCACTGAACCACGTTTGACTACAAGGGGGGTCTCTCCATCCCCGATAATCCCCACCTACAAAACCACCCCAACCCAACCCGAAGGCCTCCATTTGCCCTCCATTTCCAGTGGGGGGGGGGGTCGGGGAACAGCGAAAAAGCACGTCTGGAACCCATACCCCCCCCCCCCCAACCCGAAATTTGGGCCTTCGGGTTGGGTCGGGGTGGTTTGGTAGGCAGTCAGATGAGAGGGGGGCGCATCAGGCTCGAGGTCGGGCGCCGCGTGCGGTCCGAGGCCCTCGGGCGTCACGCGTCCCCTCCGGCCCCTCGGCGGCCTTGGGGCCTCGGGGGGGTTCGCGTGCCTGCGCCTGGCCAGGGGCGCTCCGGAGGTGCCCAGGTCTTCCCGTCGGGGCCTTGAGCCAAGGAGCCCTAGACTTGCGTCGGGCCTGTCCCCGTACAGGGGGATCTTCGACGAACAATAAAAGATACCCCAAACATGCCCCAAAAAGGTGAAAAAATATAATCAAAAAATAGTCCCCGGACTAGTTTTGGAATATGTTGTATTTTTATTGAGGTATTTTATATTTTTCGCCGAAAATCCCCCTGTAGGGGGACAGGCCGGACTTAACCCTCGACAAGGCACGAGGCCCCCTCTTTCCACATGATGGAACCTCGACCTCCCATTGAAAACCCGAGGACGGCCCAGGGCAAGCTGCGGAGCAGTCAGGGAACACGGAGCCCCTCCCCAACGAAAAGGGTGCCCTCTTCGGCCCCCTGGCTGCAGGGTTCGAGGTCTTCGGGCGCTACGAATCCTCCGGCCTCGGCGGCCTTCGGGCCTCGGGTTATGATGTTCCTAACCTACTTTAGCCTTGACCGCCAGGAAGAGTTTCGAGCGCCAGGACAGTACCAAGACTCGAGGGTCTTCTCGCGTCGGGCCCTGGGAGACGCTCGTCCGACACCGCCTCGACACTCTCTCGACACTCTCTCGACGACACTTTTCCGGGTGCTCGAACTGATTTCTGGGATGTGGTCCTTATCGGGGGCGGAAAAGAGGGGGGTGATGACTAGGGGGGGGGGGATATCATGGCGTGGGCCATGATATTTCCCCGGATTTCATGGCGCCTCTTCTTATTCCATTACGTCCCTGGCCCCCCCGCTGGGCCGCGCACATGCCGCCGGTCACGATTTGCACCCCCCCCTCTTGGACACCCCCCTCTTGGCCGCTCCCGATGGCCCTTAAGTACGATTGGGAGCAGCATAGGCCTCGAGAGGGGGGCGCGTGCCCGCGCCCTGCCGAGCACAGCGCTCCGAGGGTGCCCGGCGGAGCGCTCTGCCCGGGCGGCCGCCGGGCGCTCGAGGCGGCGCCCGGGGCGCCACCCGGGAGCGGGGACGGGCTCAGAGTGAGGTCGGGCCTGTCCATTTACAGAGGGGGATTCTCGGGCTGGACGAAAGGGGGGGGGGTGGGAAAGGGGGGGGGGTACGAAATCTGCTGCATGCAGCTGGTTTCGGCCCCACCGAGGGGCCCATTCCTCTGGCCGCCTCCGGCGCCGGGAGGCGCCGGGAAGGTCAGCTACCTGAGCTGATTCTCAAACCCCTCTTTGCTATCCCCCCCTTTCGCCCGACCCGACACTTACAGAGGGGGATTCTGTAAAACGACGCGAAGATCGGGACAACATCGGATCGGGATAACTCGAAATCTCTGAGGATCGGCGGGTTTGGAGGGTGTTATTGGGCGCCGCGGCCGCTCCAGAGCGTTCTGGAGCGCTCTGAGAGCGCTCGGGAACGCTCTGGAGCGATTTATCCCGATCTTAGCCCTGTTTTATTCTCGGGCGAAAAATTAGAGAAATACTCGAAACATATGCAACGAATTGTATCCGAAAAATTAGAAGAAAGAAACAACAAAATCCGAACAGTTAGACATATCCGGGAAGAAAATTTTGGGCGACAAATTGAAAAAGTAATAGACAAATCTGCAAAGAGGAGATGTTCAAGAATAGTCGAAACATCGTCCCCTGACCATTTCTTTACTATTTTTGAATTTGCACCCTGTAGAGGGACAGGCCCGACGGAAGCTCAGAGGGGGACGCATCGACTTCCGATCGCCCACTGTCGGAGGCGAGCGAGGGGGGGAAATGGGAAGGAGAAGGCCTTCTCAGAAGGCGGCGCGGGACTTCTCAGGAGGCCTCCGGCCTTCTGAGAAGCTATTTTTCTGTCCTCGGGGAGGGCGTGGAAGAGTTCTCAGAGGTCCCGGGAACTGCCGAGCCTTCTGAGAAGGCCTTCTCTCTTCTCCATTCCCCCCTGGGCGCGCCGCCCACCGCCGATAATCATAAGTCGGGCCTGTCCCCCTGCAGGGGGATTTTCGACGAAAAATAAAAGATACCACAAACATAGTCCAAAAATAGTCTGGGGACTATTTTTTGTATTTAAAAAAAAATCTGTTTGGGGTATGTTTGGGGTGTTTTTTTATTTTTCGTCGAAAATCCCCCTGTAGGGGGTCAGGCCCGACTTAACGATAGTCATGCGATCGCAAACATGGATCAAGGGGGCGTGGATGAGCGACGGGTCCCGTTTCCAGGGGACATCGCGGCTTCCCGCCGCCGAGCGAGGCGGCACCGGCCGCATTTTGGGGAGGGCACCTTCCCTCAATCCATGGATTGGGCGACCGCGCGCCGAACCCATGGATCGCTAATCCATGTTTGCGCTTCCCCGAGGTAGGGGCCCGAAAGCCCGCCCCACACGCTCGGGGGCCTGCCACCGGTCCTTCAGCGGTGGTATGGCCGATTCCAGGTTGATGTTTCCCCTTTGGACGATCCCCCTGGCGAGTTGTCGGAGGTCCGCGCGGATATCTTAGCTCCGCGCTGGGCCACCCCCCAAGCGCCGACGTCTGAAGTCCGCGCGGATCTCCGACAGCCGACAGCTTGTGTTCATGACGTGTCTTGTTATCGTTAGCATCGTTAGTATGATTACTAGTGCTTGTCAGTGTTATTGTTTGTATTCTACCATTACTGGTTGTATTCGTAATCATGTTATCCGTGTCAGTATTGTTAATATTATTGTTACTATGATGATGCTGCTGATGATGATGATGCTGATGCTGTTGCTGCTGATGATGATGATGATGATGATGATGATGATGATGATGATGATGATGCTGATGCTGATGCTGATGCTGATGCTGATGCTGATGCTGATGCTGATGCTGATGCTGCTGCTGCTGCTGATGATGATGAGGATGATGCTTCTTCTTATTATTATTATTATTAGTATTATTGTTATGATTCGTATTATTATTAGCGGCATTATCATCACAATTAGTATTATTACAACTATTATTGTTAATCTTAGGGGGGGTCCTGGTCGATTGTCTGCCGCGCTCGGCAGAAGGCCGAGGCGCGCGGCAGGCGCATCCAGGTGAGCTCTGTGGCATGCCAGTCCGCTCGTTGGCCTCCTTGCCTCCGCAGGAGGGCATCGAACCACCTCCTCCGGGCCCCCGGCCAGGGCCATCCTGGGCCCTGGCACTGTGTGTGCAGACCCTCCTCGGTGCCGGGCAGGCGGGCGCACGCCCGCATGCACCACGCAAAGGGCCCGGAATGGCTCCGGCGAGGCGCGGTGGTGGTGTACAGATGCCTTCTGCGCAGTGCCTGTCCGCACGGCCCGCGCGGCGGCTGCCCGTCTGGGAGCGCACCCCGGCGAGGCCGGCGGGCCTGCGGTGGAGCGGGGGCGAAGCGTCTCAGACCTGTGCTGCCGCGCGTATCCTCGGCCGCGCTGCTGCGAGGTGTGGAGGAGGAGGAGGAGGAGGAGGAGGAGGAGGAGGAGGAGGAGGAGGAGGAGGGAAGGACGAAGATATCAGGATGAGAAAGATGGAGGAGGAGGATAAGGAGGAGAGGAGGAGGAGGAGGAGGAGGAGGAGGAGGAGGAGGAGGAAGGGGACGGTATGAGTAGGAGGAGGAGGAGGAGGAGGAGGGTAACCACCTGGGTCAACGTTCGCTATCAAGCTTCTGTGACTGTGCCTGCTTCTTTGTCTCTGCCAGCGCCATGGAGAGAGAACAGAGGGCGGAGGAGGAGGAGGAGGCGGAGGCGGGAGGAGGAGGCGGAGGAAGAGGCGGAGGAGGAGGAAGGAGGAGGCGGAGGAGGAGGAGGGAGGAAGAGGAGTTGTTGTGAACAGAGGAGGGGAATGAGGAGGAGTAGATGGAAAGGCGAGGTGTGTGGAGGAGAAACTTGAGGCGGGGGAGGGAGAGGAGGAGGAAGGAGGAGGAGGGAGGAGGAGGCGGAGGAGGGATATGTTCAGTAGAAGGAGGGAGGGGTAGGAAGTTGAGGCGGAGGACGGTGAGGAGGGAGGAAGGAGAGAGGGGGAGAAAAATGAGGCGGGGGACGCTGGGAGCGAAGGATGGAGGGGGAGCGAGGAGGAGGAGGAGGAGGAGG